TTGGGATAATATTTACAGGGTAGTCCCTGTGGGTGTTTTACTAAAATTGTATTTACATGGAATTAGCAAATTTGGAGGAAGTGGGAAAGTTGACATTATCAGCTTAAGCAGGTTATATCTAAGCCCATACATAACATTTCTTTTCACTCCAGAGTAGCAATCTCTTAATACTTGTTTGCAAAAGTGAGGAAAAAGAAAAAAGGGTGGCTATGGATTTACTCTGAAATCAGTACTTTGTCTTTTCTGTTTAATTAATGCCTTGGAAACAAAATTACTTTTGTTTCTGCTCGTGGGTGTTGCTGGAGAAGATGAGTGTGCTGTGAATTCCCAGGCATGTTTGCTGTCGTGCTCACTCCATGTGATGCAAGCTGACCACAAGTTCAGGCTTGGTGATGTCTTGGTAACTGACTGACTGACTTCTGGTTTTATTTATCCCCCACTGGCTTTTCTGTTTGCAGCCTAATTTGCTTGTATTGTGAACGGTCAGATATTCATCTGGTGTTAACACATCTCTGGTTAAACCATAGCCCTGCTGCTTTGTTGTAGGCCAAGCCCACAATTTCTGCAGTGGGCTTACAATAAACATCAAAGATGGTTTTTAGATACATTTACATGGATAATTCTGTTTGAAAGAAAATTATTGGTTAGCTTGTAGTGCATGTGGCTTTATATATCCCTGTGTTTCTTCTGAATGTAAGACAAATATTATTCAGACATATAATGATGCCTGAACTCCTCGGGGCAGCAGTGGAACTCTGCTGGGCTGGTGGGCGATGCTTGACCTCTTCTAGGGCTCCTGTGGAGCTGCTGCAGCCTGAGGTGACCTGTGTCACTTAAGCCAGGTGTGATCTGCAGGTGACTCCTGGCCCACCACCTCCTCTGCACAGGACACTGGGGCAGCTGTGCAGGTGGAAAACTATACGTAGTTGTCCCAAGGCACATTACAGTAGCATATTATATTCTTTTGGAGGTATTCTCTTCTGGTAATGTAACATGCTAAGTGGTCTGACAGTCAGGACTCCAGAGTGTTTATTTACCAGTGATGCACTTAATTACTTATATAATATAATACTTGGTGGTTTTCTTGGTTAATAGAGGAGGTAGGAGTTTGGCTTGGATGGAGAATATTGAGTGATATGGAAGGAAAAGTGACACGGAGTAAAAAAATTTAGTTATTGCTTAGCCATGAGGAACTCAGAAGTCATTAAAAAAGCCACAATTTTTTTTCTAAAGTAACTGTTAAGCTAGAAATTTCTTTGATTCACTCTTTCATATATCTGACTAAGAAGTGGAGAAGTAAGTTCATCTTTATTTTAGTCACGTATCACTGATGGTTGGGCTTCCACTTCCCAAAAAAGGCAACATTTCTGAACTCTTCTACCGTTGTTAATAACTTCTATTGAAATTTTGAGTTCTGCAATACTTTTAATTAAGGAAAAACCCTCTCTAAGTAAAGCACTTTGTTAATCACAGTATCAAAACCTGTTAATAAGAATGACAAGGTTTCCTTGCTAACAAGAAATGCATAACTGCAGCTGTAAAACTGTTTTATCAGCTAGTCCTTTCCAAAAGCAGCTAATGTCTTTTTTTTTGTCTCTGTTAACCAAAACCAAAATTAGGAAGGCTGAAAATTAATGTGAGTTCTTAATCACAATGAAAGGTACCAGGATGTTGGAAGGCAAGTTGGATTTCTGGTGACATTACAGATTGGGTTTTTACTTATGTAAGGGGCTTCTAAATCTTTAAAACATCCTAATCTAAGGGAAAACCTAAGACGGGAGGATAAAATATCTTCCAGAATAATGAAATTGCACTGAATCCCATCCTCTGCATAGTAAGTGACTGTATTGCCTGTACCAAAAGGATAAGAACTAAAACCCCACAATACTCCTGTTGCTCCAGAAAGCAGCTGCGTGGGTACAGAAGTCCTTGGCTGGCTGGCTGTGTTTGCACACAGGCATCAGAAGCTGATAACAGCTTTCCTGGTAATTCAAGATGGGATGATTCCTTTACAAAGAGCCGTTAATGATCTTACAAATACCACATATAGTTGAGAAGGCTTTTGAGAGTCAGTCTGGCGCCTTGGCTGGTGGCTTTAAAATGCAACTGCATTTGGTGTCAAATAGTATCTACCTGGACAAACCCTGCGTTTCACACTGAACGCTGTGGAGCACTCCTTGCGTGAAGGTGGAGTTGACTTCCTCCCCTCTCATATGGCACCTCCACTGAGCCACAGAGACCTGCTGTGATGGTAGCCAGCCAGCTCACAGCCTAGCAGCACTTCCCTGATTTAATGGTCCCTTGAAACCCACATGGGTTGTGGGTTGTTAGGGCTGTTGTCAACACCTTGGTGTCTTTGTTCAGTTGCTGAGCAATTTTTGTTTCCTACCCTTTGGTGAGAGGTTCTCCTAACCTCTCTCAAAGCTTTGTCCAGGGTGTTTCCACTCAGGGAGGCAAATATATGCACATAGCAACCTTCACTGTCCTCGGGCCAGCAAGCATGGGGCATGGCACTCCACAGACTGCACACCTACCAGTGTCTCTCTTGCAACCACCATTTGCTAACAAAGCTGAATTCCTCACTTCACCCACTACCCCACCCTGCAGAACAAGCCTCAGTCAAGACACTGTGATCCAAAGCAAGTTTGCCTCCAGCTTAGGTCACAGTCCTGGCAGTGACCAAGTTCTCTGAATGCTGAGTGTGGTGGGAGGTCTCCGAATCAAGTGGAAATGAATATGAATAAAAGGATTGGTGAATTCAGAGAGGTTTCTTTTTGTTGTCCAATATAGCAATTAAAACCTAAAAGTACTAGATGTATCAAAGTTGCTAGAAACCGTTTTAAGTAGCTGGTCAAACTAATGCCATAGAGAGCAAATGTATTTTTAAAATTTTTCAATGTGTGTGGATTGGTTTTCTAAAAATACATGTTTTTTTAAAGTATAGTTACTAAGATAGAGAAAGTTGTGCTTCTCTTGATATTTCATGTAAATATTTTTGCAGCACTCTGTTGTTGCAGCTCCTAGAAAACCTGATTCAAGGCTAAGGGCAGTTTGTGTTTCTCGGATGTTTGTTTTGCAGGTCCTTTTTATAGCTCAGGCTTAGGAGTGAAATGGGAGGAGGGGTGGGAAAGCATGTGTGGAGAAAACCAAGACGTTTGCAGGAAATGGATGTCCATTCCCACACCTTCCTGAAAGCATCGAGCTTGGCTTTCCAGCCTCAAGGTGGGAGTGCATATGCCATTTCCATTGCACATGACATGCTCTAACAGCCTAACTTGTGCACATACACTTACCTTTTTCCAAAGACTATGTTCACCTCCATGAATGGCTCAGCTGAAGCCCAGATTTTGGTCTGGGCAGTAAGTGTGCTGGGCTTTAGGACTGCAAGTCAATGACTGATTAGTTCTACTTTGGTTTGCTTAATTACAAGGGATCCAAGTGGGCTGAATTATTTTTTAACAAAAAAATGTTTCTTGCTGAGGATGGCCAGAGATACCAAATTTGTCCTTCTCCTGGAGGACACCTTAGGGGAGCAATAAGGAGTTTTGAATTTCACACCTCCATCATATTTTTCTTTCCTTTTTTCATGAGGGATATAAACGAACAAATCATTCAATAAAACTAAAGCTCTATTCCGAGCAGCCTGATTTACAGATTGGTCAAGTTTTAGGTTGGTCCACGTGAGAGTGGCTAACCAGACATCATCCAACCCACATAGGAAAGTTTTAGCTGCTTTATAGCTGAAGGTATGCTTTATGAGTACACTTAACCTTGTATGAAGTGGCTGCGTCTTTGTGTAATTGAAGAGTTTCTTTTTGCTTAATTGACATTCCTTTTAACTGACAAAACCTGAAGAGGAAAAAAAAAAGTCCTTCTCATGCCTTAGGCTCATGCAAAAGCATCTCCTCCAGATCTGGGTGCTTCCATCTCCTTGTCTCTGCTCACAGTCACCCACTCACACTCCCTGTGTGATTAAGCCATAAAATCAGCATTAGCAGATCATAAAGGCAAAGCCTGGCCTTAGGAAGTCTGTTGATGGACTCACATGATGTGGGGTGCAGAGCTGTGGCTGGAAAGCTGGAGATGTCAGCAGGAGTTTGGCCTTGGTCATTCTGTCTAGGACCCTTGCCCTAAAAGGTCAGGATAGAAATCAGCCTGTGGCTAGAACACATGTGGAGGAAGAGAGGTCAGGTTACGGAGAGGAGAGCTCTCTTGTTGTCAGATGTTGTCTGTGAAATGAGACTTGTAATGTGTTATAGATAGTGGGATTATTTTCGGGTGGTGAGAAAAGCTTCTTCTACTGCAGTAGCTGTTCTGTGAAGGAGAGCTCAAGACTTTTTTCCTAGTCAGGTCTGGGAAAACAAGGATGCTAAAACTGGGGAAATTTAGTGGGAGCTGAAGAGGCCTGGGCTTTGCAGTCCCAGTTTGCAGCAGTTGCCCAGTTTGGGCTGACCCTGTCCATTTCTGCTCGTATCAGTGGAGAATGGTTAACTCCAGCAAGGATCTGTGATCTGTTTTCTGCACGATTCTTGTGAAAGCCTTAGATGTTCTCTAATGGATTGCTTGAGATTTGACTTTTCCAGTGGTTCCTAATCAAGGAATGTTTTGAGAGATACTTCAGGGTTTTGTTCAGGCTTTCATATGTAATCTCCTGAACATCTTCTTAAGGCAGACCCAACCTAGATTTTTATCACTGATAAAAATTAGTACTGCTAATCAGGCAGGAAAATACACTGCCAAATAGAGCTAAGCTGTCAAATTCCTCACCAAACATTTCTTTCTGCACAGTGATCAAATGTAATTATTTTATTGTTCTTGCAATTTTGTTTTGTAGGAATCGGAATTTCTCTGTCTGGAGTTTGATGAGGCCAAGGTGAGCCAGATGCTGAAGAAACTCTCAGAAATAGAGGAGAGTATAACTTCGTTGACTCAAACTACTTAATCAAATAAAGAGATTGCAACTTAGAAAAAAAAAAATGACCTGTGGTACTTTTTCATCATTCCTGTTTCTGCACATAAAATAGGTAACAATGGTTAAATCCGGATTATAACTGCACAATGAATTCACAACCAAGAATGGGCTAAGTCACACCATGAAGCTTTCTCATTCTCTCCCAGCCTGTTCTCCAAGGTGGCAACAGCATTGTTTGCATAAATCTTTGCATAATCAGGACTTGGAGTATAGCACTGCTTTTCCCTTTTTCCCCTTGCTCAATTTTGGAGTCTTCCAGCTGCTGTAAATGCTGGGCTGGATGAACAACAAAGGTAAATTGGCCAGTTTTGGCAGGGGAGAAATGAGCAGAAAAAACAGGCAGATTAGGAGGTGCTCATGTTTATCCTTCTAAACCATGGGTTTTATAGGACAAATCCACCTGCATGAACTCTGCTTAGAGCTTAAATCCTGGGAGAGTAGATGAAGTGCAGTGAGTTCTGGGAGCAGAGACACAAATATACATTTCTGTAGCTGTTGGCCCTTATGCTGCTGAGGATTAAGTGGTTCCCAAGGGTGTGAGTTGGCCAACCTGGCTGGCCTGTTCAGACCTTCCTGGTGCGATGAGGAGCCAGGGGACAATCAGGGGAGCATCTCTTGGGCAGGTGGGAGGTGCTGGTTTCCCAAAAGGAGCAGTCCTCCTGCATGCGCAGAGCACCTGATCCAGCTACCTGCTGGCAAACCTTCAAAGCCACTTGTGACCTTTTCCCCCAAAGACCATCCACCTTCATCAGCCTTCTGCCACTTGAACTGTAGTGGTGCAGCCCTGGCACCAAGCTGCATAGTGTGTTTGAGAGGGTGGTGCTTTGTCAGAGCAGAGTTCACCTTGGCTGCTTTTAGTCCTGTTTGTCGTGGTTTGTTTTGACCTCAAAAAACCCAAGGTTTCTAGTGTGTGCATGTTCAGCTTGGAATGTGGGTAAAAGGGAAATGCCCTTGACAGCGTGGCAGGCTAAAGCCCTACTGATAAAATAGTTGTGTGAAGTAAGCTTCCAGAGGCAGGTAAGTGGCACCACGATCCAAACTGCCCAGGTTGCTGTGGCTCTTGGCTGTTGCCCACGTCTCTGCCATAATGCCAAACTGCAGAGCAACTGCTGCACTTCTGGTGAAAGAGGGCTGACAGAAACCTTTTCAGTTGCATGTGCTTCCGTTCAGGGATGCAATCTTGTCTGCCTTGTCATAGCAGGATGTGTAACCACACTTAAGTGGCTCATTGGTGCAGGAGGAATTGGAGGGGCTGTCTGAGCAGGCTGACACTTGTACAGAGCATGATGGTCCATAAAAGGGTGACAGTAGTGTCGCTTAACTGGAAGGTGTGCATACACATTTGGTTGGAGGTTACATTGATTTTTCCATTTTATATTAGCTTCATAAGCAACCTCCTCCTGACCTAAAATTATACTGAAGGCTTGTACCAAGATAAAGATGACAACGTAAAATGTTCTTGTGCTATAACTCATTGCTTCTCCTTGGGAATTTATTAGTTGTGGAGTTGCCAGATTGCACTTGGATGCAAAATCTTTTCAGAGCAAGGGAAGGGCACCTTTTCCCATCTGCCTGGTCAGAAGAGAAAGCATCGCTCAAGCCAATTTGTATCACTGCAAAGGGAATTAACATTTCCTTTCCCATGCTTGTCCCACTGTTGCATTGTCTCTTATAGACAACTGGTTCTCCCCTCCGTCTCATGGAGGGACTGCACACCCCACAGCACCTTGCTTTCCCCATATGCCTTCAGCTGATACTCGCAGAGAGGAATTGGACTGTAACCACCACCTGATTGTCATGCTGGTCCCTGGGTCACTGGTTGCGGCACCAGTGTGAAATAATGAGTGGTTGGTTATCTTTTTCAACAGAGTACATTAAAATGTTCTCTGTGTTTTAGAGCATGTTTAAAAAAAACAATCAAGGTCAGGGAAGGATCATGATCTTAAGTAACTTGCACTGTGTCAAACATACTTAGTGTTTTATTTTAACATGGTCAGAGGATAGGAAAATGTGCTATAAATGGAAATTAAAAGAGAAACAAACTGGGAACAGATGTCAGGTAGTATTATTTCATGCAAAGAATAAATACGTGGAATGACTAATGAGACAAGGAGGCTGAGGCAAAAAGTCTTGGGGATGTTTAAGAAATAACTGGATACTTTCCTAGTTGAGGTGCAAAGTTAAAAGCAGTATGTTTTTATGGGTGGGCACTTGTCTCTCTTCCTGATTCTTTCTTCCCTGAATATCTAATGATCCTTATTTTCTTCCTGGTGGATGTTTGTAAACTACTGTGCAAAGCAAAAAAAGCAGAGTGTGTTGAGTACTACACTCTGCCCAGCCCTGGGTAAGGGTAAAGGAGTCACTGGGCAGCAAAATCGTTTCTCATTCACAAAGTGATGTGGGCAGGGAAAGAAGACGCCTTGCTTCCCCAGACTGCTGTAATCCTCAGCTGCTACTGGGGCGTGGAGAACAGATTTTCTCCTTAGCAGAACCATGCCTTCATACTGAGATGGTTTGTGTATGTCCCCCCATCTGTTCCTGACTACAGTGTTTTGAAACTATTGGCCACTTTTGGCTAAACTTTGAGGAGACAAGGCCTCCCATACCACTGTGCTTTGCTTCCTTGCATGAAAGGCACAAGCACCCACGACTTCTGTTGGGATTCATGGACGTCACTTGCTATCTATGGTCCCGCTAAATATCTCTGTGGTGTTGGCAAATGAAAGCTGCTGCGTACACACTTCAGAAAAGATTTCATATTCCTCCCCCAAAGCCCAAATGTAAACCAGACTCAGCCTGAATGCATGGCCCAGCAGTTCCTGCTGTGTCTGAGGCCACAGATGGATGCTGGCCTCCTGCATGGATATAGCCAAGCAGACATCCTGGCACAGCCTTGTTGGCCACAGGGGCCTCATCCAGTTTTAGGGACCACTGCTTCCTGCCATGGCCTCAGTTCCTGTGTCTGCATGCTAAGCCATGCCAGCAGTGTGATGTCAGGGCATCACCTCTTTCTCCTTCCTTCAGGGAAGCAGCCAAGCCGCGAGTCAAACCTGCCAGGCAGTTTGTGACTTTACAGCAAGGACATGAGCAGCTCAGCACAGCCAGAGCAAGAGAGTGAGGGAGATGGGGAAGCAGCAGGAAGAAGGGCTAAAGGAGGTCACCTGCCTGAGTCCCACCTGAGAGCAGTTTCCCTGCCCAGTCCTCAAAAGCTGGGAAGGAGCCAGGAGCCGTCCCACCTGAGAGCAGTTTCCCTGCCCCGTCCTCAAAAGTTGGGAAGGAGCCAGGAGATAAGTCATGCAAGACTCCACTGTCCTTAACCTTCATGCCTGCCCCCCTGCAGGTGTCCCTGCCTGCTGTCTGGTTTATTAACAACTACAAACCACTTGTCAGGGGGAGTGCCTCACACGGGGCTGGGCTAAGCTTGGTTTCAACTGAAGTCTGGGTATTTAATTTAACCTGCAGTGTGTTGGCAGAGGCAGGGCAGGGGGGATCCAAGTAGATGCTGCTAAGGCAGGGACTGCTCCTAGCAGCACCAGCAGTCTCCTCCTGCCCCACTTTTGCTGGCAGTTCCCTGGGTGACAACTTGCAGAAGCCATGGTGCATTTGCCCTGCGGTGAGCAATGGCAGCTGCTGCAGCTCTGGCACTGTGCCCGTGTGACTCACATACACGTGATGTGCAGCCCATCCTGAGCCTGCTGCTCACTGACGACTCACAAGCAGCAGCCACGTGTTGTTGCAACCTTCAGCAGGCTCCTCCTTACGTGTCACCTTTTGCGCTGCTACAGTGCCCTGCAGTTTATCCCTGCAATCGCTTCTCGTTTTCTGGGGATTCCTCCAAGTTGCCACTCGCTTATGATCTGGCACTCCCTAAAATATCTGCAAGTGCCGTCGCCTTCAAGTCACGCGATTGGCAAACCCTGCACTCACTCTCTGCTTGGCAAGATGATTACTCGTTGCACAATTTTCTTTTTTTCTCTGGGTCTGCATATGCCCAGAACTGCTACATCTTTTAAAGTATTTTTGGATGCATATCTGCATTTGAAAAAAGAAATGGTTTAGGCACATGTTTTTCCAAATCCAAGCCAGGCGAGTGCTGTATTTCATAACACTTAGGGACATGGAAAGCAGCAGATGATGAGGCATACTTACTTCATATTGGTGTTGATTTACTTGCCAATTATTCAGGTTGCTCAGTCTCATTTTATTTTGCATTTTAAAATTTTTTTCTTTCTTACAGGTCCTTTTGTGAGTGTCTATTAACATTTGTGCTTTTATTGCGTTTCACATGGGATGGATTTCATGGGAGTTCGTGGTCTCCACTCTTATTGTGCTGCTTTTTTAAAAAAAAATTTAATTCGTACACTTTTTGATAAACTGGTTGATATTTTGAGAGATTTTCTTTCCTGTATATCAGTTCTTTGCTATCTATTTATAAATTTCTTACTGTTTTTCTGAGGAGATTTCCTGATTTAGATATCTACTGACTATTTGCAGATGCACAAGTCTCTGAGAGGTTTTACCCGAAGACTCACATTGCCATATATTGCTCACATAAATGTTTACTTCTCCTTCTGGGGAATTTCAACAGTTCATTCATTCATTCCACATATTTAGAAAGAGGTGCTCAGTCAGTGCTGGGGACAGAGGGAGCCTTTTTAAGAAGGGAAATGCAGTGGTCCTTTGCAGCAGCCACTGATGATTTTTTAACGCATTACGTTTCACATGGCTTGTGACTGGAAAAACAGACAATGACTCCTCGCCTGGAAGCTGGGCTTGTTAAAATCTGCCTCTTAAATTATTCCCAAATCCCAAGGAAGTGGGGCTTGGGGTGTCATTTAACCTAATATGGAGGCTAGAACTGTGCTCCTGGGTCTCGTTTGCTGTGTCAGGAGGTAAAGGTACCAGCACAGGGAGACAGACAGACATCACCATCAATGCTTTCTCCCCTCAGTGCAGCAAAAAAAAGCTGTTCCTACCCATATGGTCACACT